TGTTTAAAGCAGCCTATCTTTGGCTACTGACAGTTAATGACGCAGGCGTGTTAACGCAGGATGCTGGGGGGGGGGCTCCTTTATTTGCCTTCCAGCTTATTTAAAAAGCACTGTGCCAATAAGGTTATTTATTAGCTCTGTCTCAGATGGGGCGACTGTCCCTCGCAGCCCCCAACCACCCCCCCCACCCCCCCGCTTGCACACCATGTCGTGCCCCATAATTAATTGTACCTCTAATATATTTCAGTCCCAGCCCACCTGTCCCTGTGAACGAAAAAGGTTCATGCTGCTGTTGTGACTCCACCGCCGAGCTTATCGACATGTGGTTCCGTGGACGGGGATGGGGGGGTGCGGGGGGAGTCGAACTTCGATTGGCATTTGCCTCCGATGGCCAGTTGCCATGGAGACAGCTTTAAACTTAAAGGCTTCCCTTTCTTTCCCTGCCCCCCCCCCATAACCCATAACCCCTCTTGTATTGTTTGGCAGCAAAAAAGAAAATAGAGTGAAATAAACACACAGCTCACAGCAGTGGGTATGGATCCGGGTGGGATGCTCACTGCTGCGGCGGCAAGGCAAGCCCCCCCACCACGAGAGAGGTACAACTCTCTACTGGGGTTAGTTAACCCTTAAAGGGACGGTCACCTTTATTATTCACTCTGCTTCAATCTGCATGGTAACTGAATGAAAACGGAGTCACAGCCATGAATCTACAGCTGTATAAAGGAATCCAACAGGGGGCACTATCAGGACACATTATGGTATTATGTGTAATAGGCTCCTGACATTCAGCAGCAGACCTGTGTGTGTGTGTGTGTGTGTGTGTGTGTGTGGGTCCGTCACCTGTACAGAGGTGTGGTGGTCAGAGACAAGGTTGCCGCTGCACTCAGGTGGGGGGATGCAAAAGAGCAGAGCAAATCCCTGCCCCTCCATGTCGGCCCCTGTTCACTCACACATATGTTGAGAATGTACTGGAACAGCTGCAGAACTATTTGGAAACGTTGCCCCCCCCCCCCTCATCAAAACAGAAATGTACTTTGAGCATGCCCGCTGCTGTAAACATGCCCTTGTGGCAGCCTGAGGTCCCAGACCTGTGGACACCCATTCATGCGATAACATGCATGTCCTTTACATGTACCCCCCCAAACCCAAGCATTGCCTAACCGTAATTTTTAACAACATGTAATGTTCAAGCACTGGCTTCCATGTGAGCCACATGACCATCCCATGTTCCTGAGCACATGGGAGGCTGGTCACATGACCGGCCCATGATCCTGAGCACATGGGAGGCTGGTCACATGATCGGCCCATGTTCCTGAGCACATGGGAGGCTGGTCACATGACCGGCCCATGTTCCTGAGCACATGGGAGGCTGGTCACATGACTGGCCCATGTTCCTGAGCACAGGGGAGGCTGGTGGCCTGAATACTCTTGACCGCCAATGTTAGCTGGATGTTACCGGGACGTTTCTCTCACATTCCTGCAGAATAGCTATGGCCCATTTCCGTGGCTCATGCTTTAAGCTCATGTCCGCATGTTTAAATAAAAAACTTGATGAGAGGGACATTAACATACCCCGATTATCTAAATGTTTAATGCCTTATTTAAACATCGTTAGCATCCGAAGAACCTCAGGAAAGGTTCACTGAGTCGTACTGCGTTGGAACTGCTGATGCAAGATGTAACGTGGGATGTTTCTGTTCAGCGGATGATGATCCTGTCATCACCTCGCTATTAGGACAGGTGGGCGGGGCCTTATCGTGAAATTAGCTATTCCATCAAATTCAGCCCCCCCCCCCCCCCCACCAAAGAGACGGGCCAAACAGCAGAGTCAGCAGAACATGGCCCTTTGAAGATCTCCTGGATTCAGTTCCCTCACTTTGCGCTCTGTGCCTGACTTGCATACCGGCCCCAACGCCCCTATCTGCAGTGCATTACGGGGGGGGGTCTCTATGAGAAACATGCTAATACTAACTATGACAACCTTAACCCCTACCCAGCCTTAACTTTAACCCCTTAACCATAAGTAACCAAACAGAATACAAGAGTTTTTGCATTTTTAGTTTAGTCACGGATTTTTATAAATTAGAGTTTTCCCATAAGGGGACCAGAAAACTGGTCCCTATAAGGTAAAAAAAAAATGGGTATTCATCACGTTGTGGGGATATTTGTTCCCAACAAGGTAAGGTATACCTGGACCACGCATACACACACACGCATACACACACACACACACATGCACGCACACACACACACAGACATGCACGCACATACACACACACACACACACACGCACACACACACACACAGACATGCACGCACATACACACACACACACACACACACACATGCACGCACACACACACACTTCATCTGAAGCAGCTGTCTTCTGGACGTGGGAGGAAACTGAAGGAGCTGGTCGAGACCCACATGAACACAGGAAGATGGGAGAGCTGTGGCCAGGATGGAACCAGCGGCATTGGAAGCCGGGGGTGATGGGACCGGCCCCCGGTCCATGGCCCCCCCTGCTGAAAACCCCAGCAACCGTCATTATGAGCAGCCTCTCCTGGCTCCCCATCCGACTAGTGCTGGCTGGAGCTCCATGCTGCTCTGCAGCGCTGCCTCCCCCGTATGCCACCATGCAGCCCTGCTGTCTGTGCCCAATGCGCCTGCTGAAACTCCCAGGAACTCCCAGAACCGCTGAGCAGGCTCATAACCAACTGCTCACTGACATCCGGAAGGTTAACTAATCAGATGTACATAACTTGAGGCATCATCGCTGGACTCCACAATAAACACACACACACACAGCCCGTCTGGGACGTTTAAGAACATCACCTGATCAATCACACCTAATCTGCTGTAAAGAGATCATCTGATTAACTCTCATTTACATTTATATGATATATTTATATTGCACAGCTTGTGTAAGCAGCATGCATCTCAGAAGATGGAAATGGATGAAGCACTTCCGTTACGCCTTGTCTCAAGGAAACAAACGAGCATGTTCCTCAGACCTGATACAGGATGACCAGGAGATCCAAGCCGCTTCATGTGTTGGAGCCCCTTGATATTAACCTCCCCAACACCCCCCGATTCTGCAGCCCAGAGGTGAAAGACAGGGATTATCATCGACATGAACTCTGCGGACACGGCGATTCGGGAGGCAAGATCTTAACGCAAACCGCTAGACGCAGCAGTCTGATTATATCCGCTCTGGAGTTTTGATAAGAGCGGTTTTATCGGAATGTGGCAAATCTGATTTTTCCACCCGATAAGCCCCAATCCGACTCTTTCTGTCTCCTCAGATAAAACAGGGAGACAGAGAACGCCCTCGGCACACTTTCATCCGGAATACTTCAGCCAGTTTTCTTTGCATTTGGTGTAAATACCGACTTTAGTTTGACGGCCCCAAACGCTAACAGCATTTGCAGCCTTTCTCGCCGCAGCTGCTCAGCCCCGGTCCTCTGTCCGTGAGGCCAGGGATGTCAGGCAGCATCTGGACAGAGCGGTGAACGGGTCCTTCAAGCTGCCTGCCACGGGAACACGGAGAATCTAAGAGAGACTCTGCACCTGCTGTTCATTATCTACTCAATGTGACAATGTGACAATGCAATACTGTGACACTGCACAGGCCAAAGCTGCCCCCCCACCCCCCCGTCTGCTCTGGACATGCATCTCCTGCTTCACAAAAGGCCATCTGTGCTGGGGGGGTCAGCATGGGTGGCCCTGAGGCCATACCCTGTCACTTTCTAGTGGGACGGAAGTCCCTAAGGTCAGGTACTGTATGTGGTGCCGTGAGAGGCAGCTAACCTCCTGTAGTCATGAAGGGCTCTGATTATCCTCTGCTAATAGCTGATGATCTTTCTGAGGGACCTCATCATGCTCCAGGCCAAACTGTCAGATCCACACTCAGGAACCATTCACACTTTCATACCCTGTCATCTCCCAGAGGTACACCTGGTAAGCCCAGTAACCCTACTCCAACATGACTGTAACACGCATGCACTGTTGTGTGTTCCAGAAGGTTCTGTGAAGGGGGCTGTGAAGGAGGTTTTGATAGAAAGATCATCTAGTTGGGATGAAAACTCACTACCCAGAGCAGGTTGGGCTTTTGAGAATGTGCAGTGTGTGTAAAGATTCCATCGGGCGTCCTCTGTTTCCCCCTAACAAAGGACATGTTTTTTTTTTGGAGACGGGATTCACCGTAACCCGGAACGAGAGCCAGCGTGATCGTAATCGCAGGAAAAATCACAGAACAAAGACTGCTTCGAATCGCTCAGTTAATTACAGCTCAGCTGCGGTGATTTCACAGTTATCCTCGCCTATCTCGCCACTTGCGCCGAGTGCGATCGGCCGGAGAACAAACGGATTTAAGGGGCGTACAACCTGGAATTTAAAGCTCTCCATCACGGAGGCTCCACGCTGCCCGAGCGGCTACATCCGTTGGAACATTCCCACCCACCCCCCAGAAAAAGATAGAAAATCGAAAATTGTCACTTCAGATAATTATCACGCTCTCCATGCCGTACAGCAAAGAAGATATGGCAGTGGGGAGGGTGGGAGGCCCCCACACGGCCCAGGAATTGGGGGG